TCATGCCTTGTTCTTTTTGGCGCTTGATCACATTTCCCTTGCTTTGTGACTTTCTTGGTGACTTGGCCTTTTCCTTTTGGCTGTGAAGACCCTCAGACCAAACCCTTGTTCTTGGATGCAGTGCCCTTCTTCTTGGCTAGAGAGTTGGTTCTTTCAGTCATCTGCCAAGAAATTTTTCAAAAACAGGATTAGCACAAGATCAAGTTGCACAAAATTTTCCAAAATTTTGAAAACATTTGTTGCAAGAATCGATTTCAAAAGCACATGAACGAGTTTCTCAAGCCAAGCATCAATCCAATAAGTTCATAGCAATGCAAAAACAAGAGTGCAAAGCTCAACAAGAAACAAGTTCATTTCTTTACCAAGAAAAAATCGATTTTTCATGAATTAACTTGCAACAATTTTCAAAACTCAAGAACAATGAATCACCAGAAAAGTGCTCTGTTTTCCATGACTATCTGGCACCCTTTCATTTATAAAAAATAATCCCAAGGTCTAAAACAACCTATCAAAATCGATTCCACACCTTGAAGTTCAAAAATCACCATTGAAGAACATGGAAAAAGATGAGTTTTAACAGAGTGAATACCTTGTGATTATTATGCAACGAGTTCGAAATGCAATCAGGATGATGTTAAGAACTCAAAAACGAGCTCAGAGCACTTTGAATCAACGAATTTGGTGGAGAAATGAGAGAGTTATGATGAAAACAATGGAGAGAAATGAGAGAAAAAGGGCAAACTCGTGGTTTTGGTGAGGAAAAGAGAGTGTGGGACAAGGTCAAGCCTTTGGACTGGTGGTCAATAGATCTATTTTGACCAGTCAAGGCTTTGACCTGTCCTTTTCTCGTTGACCGGACTCCTATCTCCTTGTGCGATCTGGAACCGCCATGACCGAGCCGCACGACTAACTCGGTGTTAAGCTCTCCTCACGTGTGCGACTTGGACCATTCTTCTTGCTGTCCCGCACACCCAAGTCGCACTAAATCCTCTTCTGTACGGCTTAGTCCCTTCTTCCATGCTGCGACCTGGCCATTCCTTCAGCTCAGCCGCACGACCAAACCGGTGTGAATTGCGAGCGTGTGTGCGCCTTGGTCCCTTCTTGAGTCAGGCCGCATGACCGTGTCACAGGTCTGGACACTTAGATTCCTGGATCCTTTGATTCGTGTGCGGCCTGGGAAGACACTGAGACCAAACCCTTGCCCTTGGATGCAGTGCCCTTCTTCTTGGCTAGAGAGTTGGTTCTTTCAGTCATCTGCCAAGAAATTCTCAGAAACAATGTTAGCACAAGATCAAGTTTCACAAAGTTCTTCAAAATTTTGAAACAATTTCTTGCAAGAATCGATTTCAAAAGCACATGAACAAGTTTCTCAAGCCAAGCATCAGTCCAATAAGTTCATAGCAATGCAAAAACAAGAGTGCAAAGCAGGGACTCAGCAAGAAACAAATTCATTTCTTTTCCAAGAAAAATCGATTTTTTTTTAATTAACTTGCAACAATTTTCAAAACTCAAGAACAAGGAAAAACCAACAAAGTGCTCTGTTTTCCATGACTATCTAGCACCCTAGCATTTATAAAAATAATCCCAAGGTCTAAAACAACTGACTTTTAACAGATGAACATGAAGTTCAAAAATCACCATTGATGAACATGGAAAGAGATGACTTTTAACAGAGTGAATACCTTGGGATTATGATGCAACGAGTTCGAAATGCAATCAGTATGATGTTAACAACTCAAAAATGAGCTCATAGCACTTTGAATCAACGAATTTGGTGGAGAAATGAGAGAGTTATGTTGAAAACAATGGAGAGAAATGAGAGAAGAGGTGCAAACTCGTGATTTTGGTGAGGAAGAGAGAGTGTGGGACAGGGTCAAGCCTTTGGACTGGTGGTCAATAGATCTATTTTGACCAGTCAAAGCTTTGACCCGTTCTTTTCTCGTTGACCGGCCTCCTTTCTCTCCTTGTGCGACCTGGAAACGTCGTGACCGAGCCGCACGACCAACTCGGTGTAGAACAGGTATTGATTTTGTGCGACTTGGTATTCGATGTTTCTGTCCCGCATGCTCAAGTCGCACTATTTCTTTGCTGCACGATCTCATTCTCCATTCTCGTGCTGCGACCTGGGTGAACACAGAGCTAAGCCGCATGACCATCTAGGTGTAAAATGCGAGCTTGCGTGCGACTTGGGTCCTGATGTGTCTAGCTCGGATGACCAAGTAGCATTTTTTCACACTTAGATGATTTTCTGGTTCCTTCACAATGTGCGGCCAGGGACCTCTAGTAACCAGCTAGCACGACCAAGTAGGTGTGAATTGCGGATCAACGTGCGGCCTGGCGTCCTCTTGTCTGACCCGCAGCACCAACTCGCACGATTTGTTCCTTATGCACCTCGGCCTTTCTTCTCTTGTGTGCGGCCTGGTTTCATTGTTCCCAGGTCGCAAGACTCAAGTCGGTGTAGATTGCGAGTCTTCGTGCGGTTTAGTTCCAAGCGCGGCCAACTCCCATGCCTAAGTCTCATGGTTGTGGACTTAGCATTTTTTTCTTGCTCGGAAGCCTCAGACCTTATCCAGTGATAGCTTACCCGCACTTCTCAACTCGCAGCTCAACCTCCAGGCATTTATTTTCATGCGTTGCGAGTTAACCAAGTCGCAAGACCATCTCGCAGCATTCAGGGCTCCTCGGACCACTTCACATTCAGGGAAGCGTAACTTCTAGGTTACTGGTCCGAATGGTGTGATTCCAGCTTCAGTGGATAGAAGACTCAGACATCTTCAACTTTAGTGAAGGAACCTTCGGTGCTTGGGAAGTGGAAGGTTTCCAGGAGGGTTCATCTTCGCAGTGCATTGACACGATCAGAAAGAGGCTTCTAGACATGCGTCCATTCCGGAAACGTTATCTTCTTGCTCATAGCTCCGAATTGAATGCTCTCAGACGTTCTGGAAAGAGGACTCAAATATCTCGGATTCTGATGAAGACCCTGTAAACTGAATCGGTCTGGAAGTGCACCGTCCTTCGCATTCTTCGGAGCTCATCGGATCGGTCCAAAACGGCAGCGAGACAGGAGTTCTTTCCGACGAGCTTAACTCTCTGCTCACGCCTCCAAATCCTATGATTCCACCTGCTCTGGAACCATGATCCAATCTTCTCCAACTTTTATGAATCACCCGACAACTGAATCGGACCAAAAGGTTCTCCGGACAGGCGATTTTGGGAATGTGTCTGCACCTGGGAATTTTGGCCGAGAACCTTAACCAGCCGGTACGCGTTTTGGCCGAGGAATCCACCCGCGGTACATGAAAATTGCCGAGAAAAACCTTCCTGCGGTATGAGAGAATGGCCGAGAACCTCCAAAAACCCATTTTCACCATCTTTCAAGCCCTGATCACCATTTCTCTTCCTGGATTCACCTTTTCAACTCCAAATAGCTCCAAATACACCTAATAAACACTCAAAACATGCAAAGACTCATTGGTACCTAATGTAACTCCTAAGTCCTAAAACAAACCCTAAGGACCTAAAATGCATGAAATAAGATATGATTTGGAATGAAATATACAACCTAAATGATGCAAATTATGAACATATCACATGGTACCCTCGGCACAAAACCCTCAGCATGGGCTATGCCGAGGTACCCATGTCAAGGAGTGAAAAAAAGCAGCCATTTTGAAAAGCGGGGTCACAAAGATATTCTTGAGTTCAAGGGTCAAGATGTTGACCAGTCAAGATGTTTAATGCATTCCTTTCATTGTGTCTCTAATGATGATTAGGTATTAGCAATGTTTGGTTTAGTGTTTTGATGCTTGAGAAAGATTAAGACTTGATTACAATCCTAAGCTGCTTAGATCATTCATCGTCACTATCATCAGCTCCTTAGTTAAATCCTGAAAGCACCCTAGCCAACTATCATGTCTAGAACTCTATGTTTTATCATCTTTACATCATCTAAATCATTTGCTGCTTTTGTTTATTGCTTTTGTTTATTGCTTTATTTAAGTTCGTAATCTTGTTTAATTGCAATTCTGTCACTTTTTTGAAACTAAACCATCTGGTTTTGCTTGGATTAAGAGCTGATCACAAAGTCTAGTGAACTAAACTCTACAACTTGGATTGATAACCTTTTGTGCTACAACAGACAAAAGGGATTGATATGCAAAGAGCCTCAAAAACTCTAGTTATCAATTGGCGTCGTTACGCCTTTTTATTTTGTTTTACTGATAAACCTTTAAGTTCTGTCTTTGAAGTTCCAGGTGCATGAACATCAGAACAAACCAGAATCTGTGATCCTCATATCCCCTAAATAGACAACATTAATCTGTTGGAGAGAAGAGGAAGAAGACCAAGAGAAAAAGGTCTAGTTGCAGATATGGAACAACAAAGACAGCATGAACAGCATCAGGCTGAGGTTAATTAACAGCAAGAAAAGCAAGGAATGAGCAGCAAGCTTATGTGAATCAAAAAATGGCTGCAAGGAATGCGCATCAGGCTCAGGTTAACCAAAACCAAGCTACTAGAAATGAGCACCAGGCTCATGTGAACCAGGAGAACCAACACCAGAACAGGCAACACCAACCTCAAGGTGTTGCTCAGAATCAAGCCCACCCAAACCCACCCATGCGTCAGGCTCAGAAAAAAGAGAGGAATCAAATCGTTCTTGGTGCCAATGACAGGCCAATGCTCACCAGAATAGGCAGGGTATCCAAACTCCAGCTGAGGACAACAACAACTTTGAAGTTAAAACATCAATCCTCAATATACTGAAAAACTCAAAGTTTCACGGCTTACCTATGGAAGATCCCCTAGATCATCTTGATAACTTTGACAGAGTCTGCAACCTTACAAAGATAAATGGTGTATCTGAAGATGGCTTCAAGATGAGACTCTTTCCATTCAGTCTAGGAAACAAAGCATGCAAATGGGAGAAGAATTTTACTCAGAGTTCTATTCATACATGGGAGCAATGTAAGCAGGCTTTCTTATCAACTTCAAGAACAGCCAAGCTCAGGAATCAGATCTATTCCTTAAACCAACATAACAATGAGATATTTTGGTGAAGCATGGGAAAGATTCAGGAGCTACATTAATCAGTGCCCTCACCATTGGTTCTCAGAAGCTTCATTGCTTAGTACTCTTTACAGAGGTGCTCTTCCCAAGTTCAGGAATCAACTAGACACTGCCTTCAATGGGAACATGTTAGCCAAGCAGATCACTGCTGCCATGGAGCTAGTTGAGAATTTGGCAAGATTATGCTAGAGCTAATAGAGGAGATGGCCCTAGTGAGGAGAAAAGAATGAGAAAAAATATCTGCAAAGCAAGATAGACAAGGTCTTAGTTTCTACTCAAAAGCCTCTTCTTTTTGTTGGTGAATTTGATGGGCAAGCTCAATGTTTTGAGAATGTGAATGAAGATGCTTTAACTCAGGAAGAGCTCCACTATATTGGGAACCAGAACAAGTTCAACAGCTTCACCAATTACAAACAGAACCTGAGCTAAAGAAACTCAATTGTAGCTAACCCTGGAGACCAAGTGTATCCTCCTCAGCAAGTTCAGACTCAGGGTTATGTTTCAAAGAATCAATACTCTCAAGCATCACCCCACTTCAATTACCTTTGGAGATTCCCACTCAAAGAAACCACATGGGATCCTTGAAGACTATCCACTAAGGGTTGGTGAATGCATAATCCCCACTGATTTTGTAGTCATGAAGATGAAGAAAACCAAAGAGCTTCCTCTATTGCTTGGAACTCCATTTCTAAACACCACAGGAGCAAGAATTGACTTTGATACTCAGAGAGTGGTGCTCACAAAGATAGATAAAGAAGTCTCCTTGATATGATCATGGATAGCTAAGGAGTTTGTGCCAGAAGAAGAAGAACCATCACTTGTTTCTAACGGCCCGCTGACAAGAGCAAAGCAATACAACTCAAGGAGGCTGTTCACAACATCATCAAGCAACCTATTCAAGAGGGAAAAGAGTGTGTTCCAAACACATTGGTCATGATCCAAGTTCAAGACTCTTAGTGGACTTGTGATCCGGCTTTGTACTTTTTTTCCCCATTTCAGGTTTTTTCCTAATGGGTTTTCTTGGAATGGGTTTTTAATGAGGCAATGCTCGGATCACCTTCACCTAAGTCCACTAAGACCGAAGCCCAAAGAGGAGGAGCGTGTCTTCTATTTTGAATTCCACTTAGACAGCTTGTTTTTTTAGTTCCGAGACATCTTTAAGTCTTAGTCGAGTCCTTTCTCTTTATAAACCTTTTGTAGTTCATTGTTATCGATAATCTTTTGTTCAATCCAAAATATCTTTCAATAAAACATCAACTCTTTACTTTTTGGTGTGTAATGTCCTTAAGTAATCTGATCTCTCTTTGGTGTGTCATATCCGAAGAACATCACCGGTGAGTCAAGACATCTTTCCGCAATCTCTTGTGTGACCATTCGACTTCACACTCCTTGAAACAATTCTTTGTTTGCAAGGCTTATCCCCATCGATATCCAGCACTAGAGTGACGATCAAAGGGAAAATCTATCAAAGATCATATTAATTGGTATCAGAGCAAATCATTCTATTGTTGGATCATCGACTTGAATCAGGTTGTATCTAGTATTTTCTTTGGTTCTAATCTGTTGCCTGATTCATATTGTAGGAAAAAATTGTTCAAAAACTATTTCGTATCTGTTTATCGCATTCATAAGTGATAGATCTGAAGTTGATCCATGTAGTTTGCATCTAAAACAATAGATCGTTGCAGTCTGTGTTTAAAATCTCGTCTATCATCATCACCTATTACATCATTTTTCATGTTTAGTCACCGATCTGTCCAATCCACAAGAGTGTCGATTCAAATTCAAAATTCGTGTTAGGGTTTTTATGATTCCTTGAGAGACACGAAGAGTCACTTTACTTATTTGATTGATTCTCGGAACCGTTGCTATTGATCTGTGCTGTTTTGGTTTCTGCCGTGAAGTCTGACCAACAAGGGGAGCATATTAGCATCAACAACAAGCTTTTTTATGGAGGCGATGATGGCAGAAATGAAAAAGTTGATTGCAGAATTTCGACAAGAGCTCCAACAACACCAGTCTGATGCGAGGCCAACTACGGAGCCGAGAAGGAATAACGCTGAGCGATCACCAGAAAGGGTTAGAGAACAAGTCAGACAAACCAGAGATGAGGCCGCAGATGAATACTATAATAGAGACAGTAGTTCATCAAGAGGCAACCAAAGGAGATATAGACGTGTACGAGAAGAAAGAAACCGTCTTCAAGATAACCTTGGAAGGCTGAAACTCAAAATGCCACCGTTCATGGAAGAAACGATCCAGATGCCTATCTAGAGTGGGATAAGAAAATTGAATTAGTATTAAATTGTCAACACTACACTGAGATCAACCGTGTAAGAGTGGCAGCAACAGAATTCTATGATTATACTCTCAGCTGGTGGGATCAGCTAGTCACCTCTCGTAGACGTAATAGAGAATACCATGTGGAAACTTAGCAAGAAATGAAGACCATTATGCGTTAGAGGTTTGTGCTTAATCATCATCACCGAGAGTTGCACAACCGACTTAGACGACAAACGCAAGGAACTAAGAGTGTTGAGGAGTATTATCAAGAAATGGAGACTCTGCTGATTCGTGCTGATGTATCAGAAGATAGAGAGGCGATTATGTCAAGATTTGTGGGAGGCCTCAACCGACAGATCCAAGATCGGTTGGAAATGCAACACTATGTCGAGCTAGAAGAAATGTTGCACAAAGCCATACTTGTGGAGCAACAACTCAAAAGGAGGAGCACGACTAGAGCCAGTTATGGAATTGGAGCTTCTACAAACAAGCAAAGTTATCAGAAAGAAGATAGAGCGAACCCGTTCAAAAAGAAGTCAAGCCCGTCATACCTGTTAAGGTGGAAACTTAGCCGATTATTTCAGTACAAGAAAGCAAAGGCAAAGCAGAATCAACTATGACGAGATCACGGGATGTTATGTGCTTCAAGTGTCACGGTCGAGGGCACTATGCCAATGAATGCTCAAACTGTAGGGTTATGGTGTTTTTAGAGAATGGAGAGGTCGAATCGGAGGATGAAAAGCCCGCATGATATACCTCCTCAGAAGAATATGAAGCACTGACGGTTCAAGGATACCTTTTGGTGGCTCGGAGATCCATAAATGTTCAGACAAAGACTGATGAGCAAGAGCAAAGACAAAATTTGTTTCACACTCGCTGTGTCTTCCAAGGCAAAGTTTGTAGCCTCATTGTTGATGGAGGTAGTTGCACCAATGTAGCTAGTGAAGCGATGGTGAATAAACTTGGTCTAAAAACAATTAAGCATCCGAGATCTTAAAAACTTCAGTGGCTTAATGACTCAGGGGAAATGAAAGTCAGAAACCAAGTGATGGTCCCTCTCTCTATTGGCAAATATGAAGACGAGATCTTATGCGATGTGTTACTAATGAAGGCTGGACATATACTTCCCGGACAACCCTGGCTATCAGATAGGAGGGTATTGCATGATGGCTTTACTAATAAGTTATGTTTTGTTTTCAGTCGCATGAAAACAACTTTGGTTCCTATGATACGACAAGAAGTGTACTGCTAACACCTGATTTTGACCACTTTTGTGGATCACTTTCAATATCTTATGCAGGTGTTTTTACTCAGTTTTAAAGGTTTTATAAGTGTTTTCCATGTTTTGGAGTTTTAAAAGGCTTTTCAGGAAACTTGGGACTTTGGAGTGCATTTTGGAGCAAAAGTACATTTTTGGATGAATTCAGGCCGCCAGAAGTTTGGCAACTAAAGAAGTCCTTCTCACCTTCTGATCATCCCCAAATTTGGGTAAATTATAGAGGAAGCAACCAGATTTCCAACACACTTGGAATCAAAGCAATCCAATGGTTGGATCTCAAGATATCATCAATGCACTGAAGGCCCGATCAACACAAGCCCAGTCAAGCACAAGTGCTTTCACTCGCGGCCAGCCTTCTTCCCACGCGGCTCAGGAGGTTTTACCCCCGGTGGACCTATGTCCGGACCTCAGGAGCCCAAATAAGACCCAAGACACTTCTTGCACCCATTTTACAAGCCCTAGACGCCCAAGACTTGGAGAAACACTATAAATATTCATTTTTAGGTCTTTTGTAAGAGAGCATCTTTCTTCTCTTTGAGAGAGAACTCATTTGTAGTTTTAGGTTTTATTTTTATGCATTTGTAGAAGCTCTCGCCATACTGTCTTCAATAAGAGAAGTTTTCTGCAACTTTGTTTCTTTTACTTTTCTTCTTCTTAGTTCTAAACCGATGATGATGTCTACCTCAGCCATGTCTGAGTAGTCACCTTGTTGGGTGAAAGGGTAATCCAAAGGGATCCCCTGTTCGAATGACATCTAGGTTTTTAGGAAAAAGGATTTCGATTTTTAACATGATTCTCCCATTCATCCAATTCTCAAAGTGGTAATTCTAGATTGATCACCCATAATCCGATCCTAGGTTTAATCTGAGCCACGAGATTGTTGTATCTGGGTTGCCTGAACCGGATCTTATGGACGTCCCCGTCGTAGGAAACGAAAGCTACCTACGGAGGATACGTAAGCAGAGATGGATTCCGATCTACAAAGCATGATCTTGTTCTGGCATGAGAGCGAGAGTTAATTGCCACGAACAAGTGATTTGATGATTAGGGTGACGAGAGTTGGCTAATCTTACATGTGTCTATCCTAGTTTCAGAGTCATAGAAAATCCTTGCCTAAATTCCTTGTGTTTTAGAACATGAACCCTAAAGATGAACCCTGAACCCAGCGCTTTTTCCTTACTAGTTTTTCCAACCAATTTTTACTTAAAGCTCTTTTTAATTCTCTGCATAATTAGATTTAATGACAAACCAAAAGCCCTTTTTATTAGATTAGGTTTACGATTGTTTTTAGCATCAGTTAGAAGTCTTCGACACACAGATCTCTGTGGATTCGATCCCCAAGTACTACTGCGTTTGCTGTGCACTTGCAGCTTGTCTAGGGTAAAACTTGTGTTGCCCACTGCACTCACATCAAGTTTTTGGCGCCGTTGCCGGGGATCTGTCGCTGTTGACTTGACTTCTTAATCTAATTTCAATCCT